AACTTCCCTTTCCGTTCAAAAGAAAGTAGTGCAGTAAGACTGAGCCCTCCCCCCCCCCTTCTTACCCCATTGAGGTGTCATTAATCTTAATGTATGACCAGGATTTACATTAAAAGGGAGCAATATACAACAATGAAGTACTGATATGAAAACTGAGATTGATTAAAAATTAAAATTACATTTAGGTGTTTCGTTCGTGATAATCGTCCTTGCTGGAACGTTTCACAGATTTCCAGTTTAATTTGAGATGGTTAAGTGTTCGTGATATCATCCGCGCCCATTGGGACGACATGAAGATTGATTGCTAATTAAGATAAGGAATGTCATTGGTTACACCTCAATGAAATTAAAATTTGACGCCTAAAAATCACTCAGCCGTGCAAGGTCAAACTCTTACGCTGTCTGTATTCCAAAGAACTAAGCAAGCGCCTCACTGCATGAGCTCCCCGCGGCGCGCTAACATTGCTTTTTTCCGTTTACACCACAAGTAAACGAGGAGCAACAAAAGCTCTTTTCAAAGAGGTCTAGAAGCTTAGACAGTATCCCTCCCACTGGAGCATGACTTGAGCAGCACGTCAAAAGAGCAGTGTTCTAAGACGGCTACGTATGGGGCCAAACCCTCCTTTGTCAGAAAGTGCTTCCACAACTCATGGTCACCATTCTGGAAAGCTCTACCGCAAGCAAAGGAATCTTGTCACGAACTTATTCGATGTGGATGCAGAGCCTCATGTAGAGGACGATGCTACTGCTTAAAAGTTAATTTGGTTCGTGCAACTGTGGCGGCAACTGCCAACAGCCATAAATACTTACAACGGTGTCTCCAACGACTAGAGTAGATCGACTAAGAATTAGGCATTATATCAGTCGTTTGTTGAATTTTGGTTAGATAGGAGAACATTTTAGGATTTCACCTAAAGCACCGTTTAAGAGAAATGTAGCTGAACAATTTACCACAGGTATCGCAAGTCTGTTGACCAAAGCTTATTTATAATAACTGGTTGATTTTTACTAAAGTAACGGAAGAGAATGTCAAATCAGCCAAAGACATAAGTTTTATGTTTCTAAGGTAAACAAGTTTTATCAACCGTGATTCAGAAAATAACGTAAACAGGTATATTTAACGTTTAACCTCAGGGCACCCAAACATAATGATAAATATCATAGAGGATAGTCACGTAATAGCATAAGATGAATACGAATGGACAGAAAATGACTCGGTTGTTATGTTTGTAGGCTTTTGTCGCAAATTTCTCCAAGCAGTGTTGTTAAAGAGGATTTTTTAATCTTAGCCTCGTTTCCATGTTAGCGAATTTCTTACATGCGTGGTACTCGTCACGAGAAGTTAATTTGGATTGGCCCTATATCAGAAAATGTTAGTCTTAGGGTCATAAGAGTTGTGGCAAAGTTTCATGATTTTATCATTAATTTAAACAATTCGATGTTTTTTTGGTCGCTAACAGCTGGACTAGGATGTTGAATTTCACATGTAGTGTCACGTGACTTTTGATGTAAACAAACCGCGAAAGTCAGTCATCAAGTCGGTCAACCACTACCCGTGTACGAAATTCGGCTTCGGCATGTAAATAATTTCTACTGTCGTGAAGCGTTTCGATGCTCAAAATCCATTTTTTTTATATATGTTTGATTATTTATCAAGCGAGTTGATATTTGGCGACCGCTAGAGTAGATGCGAGGAATGTAGCAAGAAGCGTTCTGGTGTCACAGCGGATTTGGACCACCCGGTCCAAATCCGCTAGTGGATATGGATCCCCCTACCAAACTTTCCTTTTAAGCATCGTTTGTATCATATTTGGTAACTAATTCTATTTGCAAGCTTTTTGTCGATGTTTCAGAATTTCTACTTGGGCTACTTGAGGTTACAAAACTCGCTAAACAAATCGACGCAATACAAAATTCGGTGTGGGGAAACAAGGCTTGCTCACGTTCTACAGCGATTCGTGAGCACAAATTTCCTGTTAAAGGCGGGATTACTTGAAATCTACGCGCTTAATTCCCTGATAATACCTGATCAGATACATCACTGTGTGCGCGCAGAACCAGTTTGATTATTCCATGCTGGAACGCTCCCTGCTACATTCTTCGTGGTAACAAAATATCAACTCGCTTGATTAATGATAATACAAATGATACAAAAAAAGATCTCAATTTTGAGCATAGAAATGCTTTACGATAGTGGAAATTATTTATTATAAAATGCCGAAGCCGAAGTTCGTACACGGGCAGTGGAGGGTTGACTCAAAGTCCGAACTTTCGCGGCTTGTTTACATTAAAAGTCACCAGACACTACACGTGAAATCTAAAGCCTGAAAGATGAATTATGTCATTATTTACTGAGCTTGGGCTTTTTTATCCTCATTTAAGAAAAAGGATTTTTTTATCAAGCAGTTTCAGTTGTAATGATCTCAACGTGTTGAATGCGAGTCTTTCTGGGCACAAAAAACCCTCTCGTAACATACGTAAATTGCCTGCCCTCTGTAAATAGGATTTGAGCAGGCAAAGTTTTGATTGGTGCAAATCAACAATAACAATAGCAAGTTTAACGCGTAACACCGGCTGTTACCCTAGTCTAGGTTCTCTAGTTCAAGACAAGGAGTCCGGCAACTCGCTAACTGCGTCTTGAGCGGGGACACTTAAGAAGAGACTTCCACACTTAAAACAGGGCTTAAGGTAGGAATCTCGTAGGAATCTATGCAATTAATATCGGAGAAATTAGCGTACTCTTTGCATTGCTAATGACGAACGTTCAGCATTCTCACCCGATGATTTTGCCATCTATTAGTTTCCAAGGCTTTGTTTTGGAAGCAATTTGATGAAAAAGCCTACCGTATTTTCACATTTCGATAGGAAGGGAGGTATGCTCGATCGAGTTCGGGTGCGAGTTAGACCACGAGTTTAGTTAAATTTTAAATTTCTGCCTTCAAAGTTTAGCTCTGACCAGGATATCTTAAAAATGACTTTCCTTAAATACGGGTGGCTCCTTTAACATTTCGTCTGGCCTCTTAGAAAACTAAGACCCCTTACTCCGACTTACTTGTGCTACTTCAACTTTAGTGTTTTCAACTATTTTATCGCGAAAAAGAGCCGCGAAGAGAACAGGACAAAGCTAGGTCGATGAACTTGTTGACGTTTAACGCGACTCAAACAATCCGTGACCTTGAGTGAATACTGAAGTGGATCTTTCGCAATTTGTGGTTAATGATGAACCATTTCCACGAATAACACCGCCCTCAAAGCTTTTGCTTGTGGGATTCTTTTAGCAATACGTTTTTTCGGAGTATTCGATCTTTGTGGCATGACGCTAACATGGCCCAATATTTGAAATTATTTCAAAGGTAACACGCAAAGTATTACGCAACACACATTAATTCTTAGGGCCTGTTCACATGGATGTGGGGGGACCCCAAGTAGGTGAGGTAATCCGCCTAGCCGAGGTCGATAAAAGCCCACATTTAGGACCTCTTTACATGGAGGTGGGAGACCCCAGGTAGGTGAGGTTACCCATCTAGGTGGGGTAACCCACCTGTCCATATAATCTCTTATTTTATTCTGATCACGTTTACGTTATGGGTAGGGTGACCCGCTTAGGTGGGTTGCTCGGTCTGCTGGGTAGAGTAACCCTGTCAGCCGGGCTGACAATTTGCCATGTAAACGTCTCAAAGTGGGGTAACCCGCTTAGACAGGGTCGCGTTCATGTTACAAAAAGATCAAATGAGCCAAACAATAACGAAACACGAGTGTGTTAAAACTTTTTACATTTTTTAGCCGTCCCATGCAGAACTAAAACGTTAAAATACCATTTTTACGTCCTCTTAGCCATGAAACCTCCACAGCGATTTAGTCACGTTTTTACTTTGAACTTAACGCTACATTCGCATGCTATGCCGTAGTGAAAACATTGTACCTGTTGCGGCAAACGAACATCAAGGCTCGATGAAGTGCCAAGAAAATCGCGACCGGAGAAAATGCCAACCAAACCAGGGGATATGTTACAGAGACATAACTTTAATCAATCTCGTAAACTGTAAGCGAATTAAAAAAGGGACTTATATAATAGATTGTATTCAATTAAACACGTGGCGACTTAACAGCGTAAATGAATCTAACATAATAAAGGAACTAATAAATGAACCAAGAGCTACGGCAAACACAAGATATATATACAAACAAAGACGAAAGAGCTTGCTCGAAACGAGTTATATAAACAACAAAACAAGCGAAAACAACTTACATATCAGTCCCTATACGCCGGTGGCTTGAAATCAAACTTTATAAATTAACTTTGGATGAACACCGAACATGAACAGGCGATTAATGAAAGCGGGAGAGAAAAACTATCTGAAGGAATCAAATGGCACAAAGGCCAACTGTAACGCAAATGTCACGCAAATTTAAAAGTCACGCATTTACAGCACCGTCAGAAACGGTTGACGCATCGAGCTATTGGCGAAAATATATTACGTTTTTTTGGCAACGTTTTACCACACGTCGCCGTTAAATTCCTTAATTACAAGTGCGATAACAACCTCGAGGAATTTCACCCCGCTGGGTATCCCGAGGTTGTAAGATTAGGGCCTGTTTACATGAAGGTTAGGGACCCCAGGGAGGTGAGGTAACCCGCCTAGCCGTGGTCGAAAAACGAAACGCGTTTAGATACTTTTATCTTACAACCCTGGGGTGCTGGGGTGAGGTTTCTTGAGGTTGCTGTTGCGCTAGCAATTAGGGAGTCTGAGCATAGTCGTCCCAAGCTCACGTCTCGAGAGAGACGAAAGATTAATTCATGGACACGTATGTATTTATTATGTATTTATTCATGAAAGCGTCAAGCGTTGTGTTACACGGTGTTAGGTTACGCGAGGAACCGTTGACTTAATACGTTATCAGGAATAGTTTAAAACGTGGTCAATTTACAACGCTAAATATTCCGAAATGTGAACATTTTACACTCCTTGTGTGTCCGTTGCGGTTTCTGGTGATTTCTGCCATGAGACGGCTAGGAAATGTACAAAGTTTTAAAACATAAGTGTTTTGCTTTTGAGCTTTTGAGCAATGTGTGTTGTGTGATACGTGATGCCCTACCTGACAGACCGGGAAACCCGCCTACGCAGGTCACCCCACCTATCATGTAAACGTGATCAAGATAAAATAAGAAATTATATGCACAGGCGGGTTACCTCACCCACTTGGGGTTCCCCCACCTCCATGTAAACTAGCCCTAAATGTGGGCTTTTTATCGACCTCGGCTAGGCGGGTTGCCTCACCTACCCGGGGTCCCCCACATCCATGTAAACAGGCCCGTGATGTAGTAACTCCCAGTTCCTGTTTACATGGATGTGGGGGACCCCAGTTCTAATCATTTAGTGGTAAAGATCCTATATAGAATCGTGTTAAAAAGCCGAAATGTTACGAATAAACTTCGCCAATTAAAAATTTAAGCAATTTTTCAAAAGCGTTGACTGTACAAATATTTTTTACTGCTGTAATGACTAACGGAGGCATCGGGAAAGGCATCGAAAAGAATGATATTTACGTTTCGTAACTTGCTGCAATAACCACAAGAGATTTCCTCAAACAGGTATGTAACTGTTCTTTAAGTATTTTGAAGTACATATATAGATCCCGGTTTCCTATCCTGATTATCTTAATTCAGCGATAATTTAAATAGGTAAGAATCACCGTCTTTAAGAGTTACGCTAAATTTCTCCAAAGGCAGTCTCAGGCGATTTGCGGAAGATGACCGCTAAGTCTTAAGTGCATGTTTTTCTTTTATTTCATTTCAGTTTCTTTGTTTTTGTTTTCATTTTTGTTGTTGTTGTTACTTTTTTATTCATCTCTAACTTGAGGATCTATGGCTGAGATGGTAAAGCGATATTATAGCTTTCGCTTGCTTTAGTCAGGAGAGGACTTTGCCCAAATTTATTAAATAAAGTAAAAACCCGCATATAAAAATCTAGGTTTTTTCAAGTTAGCTTCCATAGGTTCTTATATAAATGGTGTTTACTATGAAATTAGGCTACCTTGGTTCTTAATCACGCTTTTCTTTTTTGTTTAAAAGAAAAAAAAAACAACTTGTATTGGTGGGTGTGAGTGTGGGTGTGATACTGCGATGTATCCCAGCGCCATAATGCTCTGCTTTACATGGTTAACTTGTACACACACAGTCGGATATGTCGCACAGCTATGGATGTATTGACAGTAAAGTATTGTGGTCTTATAAAACTGCCGGTGTTACACTGCCACTGGCTAGTTTTTTGGTTTTTTTTTTTTTACCTTTCTGTATCGCATACAGTGCACTGTGTCAAATTTGAACAATGATGTCACTGATGACTTTCCCGAAACCTCCATTGGTTATTACGGCAGTGAAAATATTTCTACAGTGAACACTTTTGAAAAATACTTAACTTTTTACTTAGCGAAGTGTATTGGAAACATTTTGGGCTTAATAGCATAATAATTTACTGCAACCATAAATCATTTGTCTCCACATGAAGAATTTTATAAAGCTATTAAATCGCTGATCACTCATACTTGAGACTGTCCTTCTTCCCGGCTCGTCGCTCGTGATGTAGTAACTCCCAATTTTAAAAAATTTCTCAAGTACTCCATTTCATTTCATTTCGCGAACAAAAGCCAATGAAATTTTGTGAACCCTCTTTTTTCTCCAACTCTCCGACTTTTTTGTTCCAGTTTCCAGCAATTACCTTTGTTTATGGCTACTGAGGACGAAAATTCTATACAGGAGAGATATGGTGAATACCGTAACAGCAAAACTGCGCTGGTGTTAGGTGTAAGAATGCCTCCTTTCTACGTTAAAGGATTTAAAGATTTCATAGAGAATTTTCAGACCAGACACGATGATGTCTTTATCGTCGGTTTCCCAAGATCAGGTGAGTTAATAATCCTCTCTAACAGTGAAACAAAGACAAAAAATTTCCAAAAATATTTTGTTATGAAGACCAGGCCCACAAGCACCCTACTCTTTTTGGTGAAATGATCACGCGTTTCCTGACACAGCTTTTATCAGATGACTTCAAATTTCCAACTCGTGGACAAAGCATTGAATAGTTTTAAAGAAAAACAAGACACTCGAAAGTGGGTCGTAAGTTTAACAAGCATGCTTCTTTTTGTTCATTTATAGTTGCTGCAGTTTTCTCAATGAGTGCCATCATCATGAAAATGTTTCCACAATTTACATGCTACTGCACACTATGTTAAACTCACTTTGAGTTGAACATAGGAGTATTCTTGTTTTTCTTTAGATTCGTAGCACTGATCATGGATATTATTAAAATCAATGGGTATGAGATGCTGTTATCGAATAAGCGAATCCTGTGTTCTGATTGGCTATCCAAGCGAGCAAGACGGGCTTATCTCGCCCGCTCGGGATCGCCCATCTTCATCCTGCGCAATAAAAGATTGCGTGGAGCGAACCTACAAAGTTTGTAAAAAAAAAAAGCGCAGAACAAAGAAAGCATTAAACGACTCCTAAAGGTTTATTGAGCTACAAACACAGCTCGATTTCTTTCCCGGCTCTCGAAATAAACAAGTCATTTCTGTTTCTTAGTTTATCGAAATGTATTTGCTATATAATAAAATCTTTTATTGACCAAGCTTGTGCGGTCCAGATGGCTTGATGTGAGCCTCGTTCTCTTTTTGCGTTTTAATGGACCTCGACTCTGTCTCAGAGCGGCGCAAAAAAATTTAACTCGGTCAATATCCAGCCATCTTGCCCTCACGCTTGATCAATAACGCATTTGTAATGTTCTCTTCCAGGGACGACGTGGCTTCAAGAGGTCACTTGGCAGATCTGCAATGATGGAGAAGTTAGCCAAGTGCCAATTGGTCACCGAGTTCAATTCTTTGACGAGGCGAAATTTCCACATACTACCCAACCAGACATCACCACTCGACCCAGTCCACACCTCATGAAGACTCACCAGCCATTTCCAACAATTCCCAAAGGAACATGCAAGGAATCAAGATGTAAATACATCTATGTTGCGAGGAATCCTCTCGATGCCGTTGTTTCCTTTTATAATTTTGAGAGCAAAATGGCGCCTATGACGGACTATTCAGGGCCATTTGAGTTCTTTGCAGACACGTTCATCAAGGGTCAAGGTTAGTCATCTGGAGATTCAATTCTATTGGTTACTTTTGCGGATGATAAATTTGGTAGTTTCTCTGTGTATCGTATTCGGAGTGTACGAGGCAGAGCCGAATAACGAAATGCGATCACAAGTATGCGGTCAACAACGTGGGCTCCAGCGCGCGAGATTTAAAATTGAGCGAAATTCACGGAAATAAAGGGGCTTGCATTTAAAACCGCGGCATTTTGTTGTCGTTGAAGGCACTTTCCTATTTCCAGTGTTTTTAAGGAGAAAATTAACTTTTGAAAATATTTAGGGGCTCTACATACTTTTAGGAGGTTGCTCTGTAAAAGAGAGTCCTGTTGCTGATCCAATGTAAGAATTTTCCTTTTGTGTTGGGTCATGATACGAGTACTTACCATATCTTCCGTTGCTTGATCATAGTTTATTGGGGATCTTGGGCCGAGCATGTCCTGGGATGGTGGAGACACAGAGATGACGAAAACGTTTTGTTTCTCAAATACGAAGACATGAAGAAGGTTTGTGGTCAAGCGAGTTACGATTAAGATAAACACTTCGTCAATTTTTCACCCACCGTTTCAAAAATCTATGTGAACCGCTCGACCTCCATTGTTTTCATCGTTAAAACCATGACCCAATGGAATCATTATTGACGGATCACTTCGCTTTAGCAGATGGGAAGCAACGCTGTTTGTAGCCGTAAAAGGATGTTCGACTTGCTTGGTTTTCCACCTCACGACTAAAAAACATGAAGAAATTTTGGTATTGTGCTCCTATTGTTTTCGTATCAGCTTATTCTCACTCATTTGTGTTCCTTTAAGATTCCTAAGTATTTTAGGAAGCCTCTTAAAACCTTGCACCTAGCATGCAATTTTACAGCAGTGACAGGCCTGGGTCTACCGTGCAAAAATTCTTTCTTAGACAGACTTTGAACCGGAAATGATAAATTTAATACCAGTTGCAAATATTTCATTTATTATGCCAACTTTGCATGCTATTGCGTATTGGTTGAATGCTCTCGACCAATTAGATTTTTCATAGCAAGTCTAAGGTATAATGATGTAAATTGACTTCCGTTCCTGAACTTAATTGCAAAAAATTAGTCACGAGTTATGATTGCACCCTTACTTGTTCTCTCAGGACTTACCATCTCAAATACGCCTATTAACTAAGTTTCTGGGCAAGTCCTTAACAGAGGGCATGATCGACCGCATAGCTCAACAGTGCACCTTTGACGCCATGAAAAATAATTCATCGGCTTACTGGATGATGACTCGTGATGGCGAACTACCCAACTTCCTCAGGAAAGGTCAGATTGGAGGCTGGAAAGATTACTTCACTCCTCAGTTGATCCAGAGGTTTGAAAAAGAAGTGCTGAGCAGACTGGATGGTTCTGGGCTCCAATTCGATCTTGGTCAATGATTTATCAATCTCATTTTTTTTTCAAAACATTGTATTCAGTTTACTCAGTTCGACGCGTGTAAAGGAGTTCATTTTTATTATTTTATTTCTTCCATTCTTGTTTTAGATATACAATTAACTGTAATTTTTCGTGTACTCCACACTGTGTGAGTGCTTTTTTCTACGTAGAGCACAGGCAGCCCAAGCTCCAGCTCTGAGATGATCATCTAGCGCGGTAACAATCATGGCAGAATTATAAGAGTTTGTGTGGGAATATTTACGACCGCTCTAAGGAATAAAAAAATACGTCAAATTCTCAATAAAAATACCTCACCTTACTTCCAAAGCCTATCGCTTCTTATCTGACCGTTTACTTTGATGAAAAGAGCCCATTTTGGCGAGTTGTCCATTTCGAGGTTTTCCACGTACATAAGAAAAGCCCAACGCTGAATACTACATTTCCGAACGCCCGATCCAAGAAGCGAAAAATCCCAGCGCAAAATGACCGGGCGGCCACAAATCCGATCCGATCCGACGTAGAATCCAAGTACATATACTGTAGTTTCACTTAAATTCACTACAAACTCAATCTTCTCCGTGCAACTGACGCTGAGCCGCAGTTTGCCTAAAAAATTTCCAGTTTAGAGGTTTCTGAAAGCCCGCGTACACACACAACCGTTGAAAACCAGCTTGGTAGCCCTAACTCCTTTTCAAACTGAACCTCGCCAGGGACCACACCGTCAGTCATCATCAATAAATTGTTTCAGAACCACGGGTCCCCTCAGGTCGAATCGACCAAGAGGCCATTGTTTCGATCGGCCAATCGAATTCGCCTCCGGAAGTGTTTGCGATGCGATTAACTCTTTCATCTTGTGGTTTTGGTAGAAAGCTTTCCGTTGCGTACGCGATCTACACTGAAACCATTTCACCTTTTCTCCCCAAATGTCGCTAACGATTTTTCCAAGCGTAACTGAATTAAGCTGGCACAGGAAATGTTCCTTCTCTACATTTGCATGACACAGGATTTCGCTGGCGTCTGCAATGTTATCGGCCTCACAATCGTAGTGAAACAAAACCCTTATAATGAAGAATGAAAATTTCCGTTTGGTGAGCACAGAAGCAAAAGGTAAAGTATCCATTCAAAGAATAATCATTTGTTCATTTGGATGTAAAGTGTCCAATTCCATGCGTGAAAATATTGAAATGGATATCCAGCAACAATACTTACCATGATTTCCATTTTAGATACGAGTTGGAATTGATTACGTCCTTGCTGCAACCGTGGAATACACCATTTTTTCCGACGACATTTTTTCCTTTTGAAATTGAAAGAAACTATCGAAATTTACGAGATCAGCTGTGCGGTTTGCAATGATGGTTGAAAATTATTTTGAATTTGTAAACACTTCCAGAGGCGACCTTGTACCTAGTTCCAATACAGCGCGTGAAATTGCGCCTAATTCAGGCGCCAATGCGACTAAATTTTTCACTTTCGTGGCCAAATCCTGAAAATTAGTCTCCAAATTGGTGACTGGAATGTTTCATCATAACCTTACCAAGAGATATAGTGAATTAAAAAGATTTGCAAAGAGAAATCCGCAGCAAACTTCCTCGTTGTTTGTTTCCAAAACGCAGCACATGCATCTCGATCGATAACTGGACGCTATCTTGGATTTAGATGAGCTTGAACGTTGTATATCATCCATCCTAGTGTCCACTTTGTTGCACGTTAGAGATCTTTCCCCTAACTTAATTTTGGAGGGTCTATCTAAAACGTGCGTAAAAAAAAAGGTTTTGTTTGTCTTTGAAAATGGCGACCAACTTTTTTTGAATTGGCTACCACTTTGAAGAATTTAGTAGCCAAGTGGCTATCAGAAATAAAATTAATTTCACGACCTGAAAAATGATAAAACGAGTCGCGGCGTCCGAGCCTTCACAGCTCTTATCTCCTAAAAAGAGGGGTCAAGATAGATTTGATGGGACGTAGGATGGGGCTGGATATCTTGGTGGTATATGAGATATGAAATACTTTTAAAGCAAGATTTGGGGTGATAATTTGACGGCGAGACCACAGGTGGCCCAAGCTCATGTCTCGAGAAAAAGCAAACGATTAATTCATGAAAGAGTCCCGCGTTGTGTGACTCAGTGTTAAGTTTATGCCAGAGGAACCGTTGAGACCTTAAACACGTTATAAGGAATAGTCTGGGGAACGAAATATGGTCGATTTACAACGATAAATATTTCGAAATATGAACATTCTACAAGTAAAATAAATCGAACTTACTCACATCTTGTGTGTCCGCTGTAGCTTCTAGCGATTTCTGCCGTTTTAAGCCTGTTTTGCCATCACTGTTATTCCTGTTATAAAACGCTCTAACACCGAGACACACAACGCGTGACGCTTTCATGAATTAATCGTTTACTTTTTCCTGAGACGTGAGCTTGGGCCGCCTGAGACTGAGACTCGTTTCCTTAAAGGCCCATTTCCAACCTTAGTGCAACGCGCGCTGCGACTTAATTTCCTGTAACACGAAATTCCCAGGTTACTGAAAACCTTCTAAAATCGTCTTTCTCAAGAGCCATCCTGGACATAAAGTCAACTGTTTTACGGTAAATACATTCGCCGTTCGTCATTTTACAGTTTCCTTACAGTATTTTGAATTTTGTCCGGAAGAATCCGAAGAAAATTTTAAGTGTCACGCTTAAATCTCTTCGTGCTCTGTAAACAGAGTCTGCGAAAAGGACAACGTTCAAATTTTTTTCACTTTCTAGAAGCACTTGAAGATTCTAAATGAAGATAAAATATTTCCAATAGAAATTGGTATTTTTGAAAGAGAAATATGGAAAAATACCAGACTGCTTGGATCTCTTCGCACTCTGTGTACAAGGTCAGTGAAACGGACAACGTTGGAATTTTTCCACTTTCCAGAGCGTTTGACGATTGTAAATGAAGGTAGAATATCTTCCAACGAAAAATTGGTATATTCAGAGAGAAATATGGAGTTATTTGAGGACCGTGTCCAGCCGTGTCCGTTGAAAAGTTTTTAAGTGTCAAGCGTTTGGATGGCTTCGTACTCTGTATACAGGGTTAGCGAAAAACATCAAGTTCGAAATTTTAGGCTGCCTGGAAGCGCTTGAGGATTTTAAATAAAATTAGAACATTTTCGTATAAATATTTTTTGGATTTCGAAGAGAAATATGGAAAAAATATCGGACTGCCAGACGTTTAATTACTTTAAGTTTAGTAACTTCATTGCAGGAACGTCAGCGACACTGACAGTTTGCGTTACAATTCTTATTTGCTGCTTTGCACGGACAATAACCTCGACCACTCTTTCGAGCACAAGCTCCTCTCCACGGGCAGGAAACTTCAACTGACCCTTGGTCCTATTTAACAAGGATGGCAAACTTCAATTAAAAAAAATTGATGAATGGATGAAAACTTGGTGGATCAATACTTTCACCTTCTTCGAAGTACTCACAAGGATTTTCGTGTTCCTCTTTAGCAACAACCGATCCATAAGCGTTTACTACCTCGGAATCTACAAAATCAATGGATTCATCTGATTCCATGCCGGATTAAAACGTATAGAACTGTTTTAACCAGAATTATTTTGACAAGCTCCTCAAATTGATCGGAGAAAACGCAAAAGCTATTTACTGGGATACCTGTGGCAGCCTAGTCATAACAATGCCTTTGTTTTTTGGTCGTCTTTTTTTTTCCTCCGCCACAAAATGGAAAAATTGCGCAATAGTACCCAGTGATCATTGGGCCCTCAACACCATGACAACTAACTGTGACCCAATGAGGTGTTCACATGCGATCACGCGTGTTATCTTGATGATGCGTTGCATCAAGGTTGAAAATTGGCCTTTAAGTTTATCCCGCCAGGATCCGGAGATCAGTTGTCTCTCTAGAATTCCCAGCACCTGTGTTTGCTGACAGTAACGTTCACTTGTACTGCGTAAAGCACAGCGAAGAAATAGCTTCATTACATCACATTTGCTGCTCTGCTGAGCGAAACGGTTAGTGTCTTTTCAACATCAATAGTAAATAATGGAAGTGCACGCGAGCGTATAATTCTTACACAGGTTAATCCAATGTTTGTGGCCTTCTTGTGTCTTATTGAACCTAGGCATCGAAGCTAAGTGAATCGTTATTTGTGGGAGGGGGGAGGGGGGTATATTTTTGGTAATATGGAAGTTGTGTATACCATCCATCAATTTAGATACGACGTTACGCCCAGGCGACCGTGACTTGGTTTTTAGCCAAGCGCGATCGGGATGAAAATTCTCATTGGGTTAAGAACAGCGGTGGAGTGCGAGTTTGTTTATTCCTTTTCCAGACCCTCAGTGAAGTGAGAAAAAGCATTTCAACCATTACTTTCGAGTTAATCGAGAATTATCTTTTCGTATTCATTATTTTCGATATCGGAAGAGATCCAGGGTGACATTTCGTGGCAAAGTTCAAAGCTAGAACATTTATTACATAAAACTTTAAAACTTTTTAAAAAAACTGTTCATTTGTAATATATTGAAGATGTTTTGACTTTGCTTCACATAACTGTCATGTCAGAAGTAATCTGATAAAAAAATCTTGTAAGTGACAAATCAATAAACAGGAGTTTTTCTGCACTCAGCAAGTAAGTGTCAGGCAAAAAGTTTGGCCCAAATTGAGTTATTCTGGGTGTTCAGCAAAGGTTTAATGTCCAGAATAAAAAGCATTTGTCGGAGCAAGCTAAGGAAAGAGTCAGCCTGAGCGAGCAGCCGTCATGGCTCATCAGCACATGGTAAAGAGTTTGCGACGCTGTGTAGAGACCACAATTCTAAATCTTAAAAAAACCAAAATATTTTTTTTGGCATAATCCCAAAATAAACACTATTACAGTCACCCATGACCTAAAACATACTTTCATAAAAGCCTTCACTATAAGGGGGTGTAAATTGAGGAAATAAAACCGCGATTCACAGCTCGAGTATTTTAAAGTTCAAATTCCATGGTGCACACTAAGCCCAGGCTT